GTGGGGGCCGTGCGTGCCCACGAGCGATGCCACCACCGGGCTGCTTCTGCCCTGGGAGGCGGGCAGTGGTGGGGAGGGCTGGCTGGGCCTGGAGATGGCGGGGTTCAGGAGGGGAAAGGAGAGCGCCCGAGGATCGGCGCTCGGCATGACCATGGGCACGGGAACCGGTCCGATGGGGAACGGGAGCCTGGGGGTAAGGGATGGGCTGGGCTGGAACGCTGTCAGCATGAAATCTGTCTGAGAGAGAAAAGCAAGGGCAGAATGAAAGGCCAGTTAGAATCAGCCCAGCCAGAAGCAGAGCCGAGCTCCTTCCTCCCCAGCCAGGTTCCTCACAGCAGAAGACCCATCCCTGCCTCTGCCAGGCTGGCACAGGGCGGGGACAGGGCCAGGCAGCAGCTCCAGGAAAGGCGCAGAGCAATGCTGGCTGCACTGCATGCCCCTGGAGCCCACGGAGCCCCCAGAGCTCGGGCTCATTAGGCCCGAGGGACGCTCACTTCTGAGGGCGGAGGTGGCAGCGTCGGCGTGGGGATCTGCGGGAGGCTGCTCAGCTTGGTGCCGTTCCTCACCATCTGAATGTGGTCGTTGAACTGGTCCTGGCGGGGGCGAACGACAACAGGCGCGTTTACCGCGGCCTCCGCCCGGGGAAGGTCAGGGTGGATTCCACCCCCCAGGCAGAGCGTTGGCACCGGGAGCCGCCCGGCGGGAACTCACTCGGACGCTCTCCTTGGTCATCCGTATCCTGTTGAGCCTCATCTCCCACTCCTGCTTGGGCCGCATGGTCTCCAGCGTGGGCGGCGCAGACCTGTGAGCAGAGGGGACATCCCCTTTGTGATGGGAACGGGCCGAGCCCACAGCCCCGGCCCCACAGCGCTCCTGAGCCCCAGCAGCTTAACAAGAAAGCCACTGGAGACCTTGAACCGCTTCAGCCAGAGCTCTGGGGAAAGGGGGAGATGGGCCCCTGGGGACACCAGAAGCACCTGCTCCTCCAGAGACCACACGGGCTTACTTGAGGTAGGTGAGGTGCAGCTCCGCTTCTTTTTCTGCTTCTTCTAGTTTCAACACCAGCAGCTCCTTTCGGCTCTCCAGGGACAGGATCTGACAGAGAGAGGCCCCCCGCAAAAAGCGATTCCCTACTGCCTTCCTCCTCGCTGCCAGAGCTTCGTTTCCTCACTAAGCACCATGCCAAGTGTGCCAGGGCAGCAACCCCGACCAACACCAACCGCACCGACGCTGGTTTACCCCTTCTCCTGCCCCACACAGAGCAGAACCTGGCCTCGAACTGCCCCTAACATCACCCGCTAACCTCTGCTTTCCAGGCCCGTTCTGTCTCCTCAAGAATGTTCCTGTTGATTTCGTTGTGCTGATTCTTCAGCTTATCCAGCTCCATCTCCCAAAGCTGCCTGCAGGAGGAAAGGGCCCCAGTTGGCTCAGGCTGTGGCACTGGGATGGCAGCACCAGCCAAGGCCTGGCCAGGCCATCGGTCCTGCCAGCTCTGGGTGGGGTGGCGGTGCACAGCACCACGCCGTGCTGACCACACAGGGGTTTACAGCCAGCCCTCCCCACCAGGACCACATCAGCATGTATCCCTGGAGCTTCCCCACCTGCCTCCAGCTCCCCAGACGTGCCAGAGCACAGAGCAGCTGTGCAGCTGCAGGGAACAGGCCAAGAAATAGGTTTGCCCTAACCCTGGGAAGCTGAAGCTCCACCAGAGGTAGTAGTTACAAGCCAGGTCAATCCACCAAGTGTAAACTCTAATCCTATGGGATCTTTATGTCACAAGCCCCTGGGAGCCTGCTTGTGAGCAGGATCAAAGAGGTTTAATGCAGTGGCTGTGGCCAGCAGGCCCCCAGTGGAGGAGCACAGCTCTGGAGCCGGTCGGCGGGCAGCACGGCCGAACCACGCTGCCCAGCCCGCCCCACCAGCAGCTCCATCTGCTCCCAGCAAGGAAAGGAGCACTGGGCAGGGCTAGCCCGCTGCAGGCACCAGCCTTACTTCTCATCAGACTGCTCTGCGATCAGAGAGGCAATCTTGTTCTCCTTCTCCTCCTGCTCCTTCAGCAACCTGCCCAAGAGGAGAAGGGTGAATGACTCACGAGGCACTTGCTGCCTCCAGCAGGCAGGAGGTGATCCCCTTCAGCTCCGCCTGGTGCACATCAGGGGGAAGGAACCTTCTCCCCCCACCCCCAGAATCACTTTCTTTCCCAGGCTAATACCTTCTGCCTTTCTCACAGAGCTTCTCAATTTCTGCTTTCAGATCCTGCTCCTTCTGCAAGAACTCCTTCTTCTCTTTCTCCATTTTCTTCTTTGTCTCTTCTCGCTTGATCGTGACATCCTGGATTGCTTTCAGGATCTCCTGCAGTAAAATGAGCATTATGCAACTGAAGACCAAAATTCCCAAGTAATAGGTTTGGTTTCAAAATGGTTATTACTTGAGATTAATTGAAAAGAGATTATGAGATTACACACATCACCAAAATCTTCCTTTTCATTTGACCCAGACAAGCTCCACAGTAGCTGTTGAGAGGCAAGGCAGGAAGCAAAGAGTCTCAATCTGCCTCTTCAGTAGGATATAAGGAGCAGCAAATTGTGCTCTGGTTTGGCTGTAGCCCACCGGTCACCAATAGCTCCTGTGGGCTGCCACAGGGCCAGCTGGAAATCACTCCCCAAGAACCTCGTGGACCTCAGGCAACAGCCAGAGATCTAAGCACCCATCTGACAGAGCCAGTCCTCCTCCTCCTGGCTTCACTCCCGTGGTGCTGTGGAACACACCACGCCCGCCCAAGGGATGCTGCAGGAGTGCTGCCCGTGTGGGCACGGTGCCGCCTCAGGGAGGGGTGCCCAGCACCCAGCACCCTGGGCTGGGCAGGGCCCGTCCCTGGCGCTCGGCAACACGGTCACACACCCGTGTGATGGACGGGTGACACAGAGAAGTGCCCCACACACCTGGTGGTTCTTCATCTCCTCTTCCCTGCGCTGCTGGAGCTGCTTCAGCTGCACTTGCAGCTGGTTCTCCACTTGCCTCTGTTTGTCCAGCACCTCCTGGTACCGCTCCTTCAGCAGAGCCCTCTCAGACATCATTTTGTCCTGCAGCAGACAGGGGAAGTTCATGGGGAACGTTCCCCTTCCCTCGCACCAAACAGTGCACAGCTGGGGCAGTGAACAAGGCAGGGCACAGGAGCCCACCGAGAACCACGGCCCGAGGGCTCCCGCGCCGAAAGCTCAGCTCCCCGGCCGGGAGAAGTCGGGTGGAGAACAGCCCCGAGACT